CCTGGACTTGGGGCTCAAAGGAGGTGGCGCTGCCGTTTCAATCCTTGGGGATCGGTCGGCGTCCAAGATGCCGTGTGTAAAAAGTAATTTACTTTTGCATAAGGGACGTACGTAAGGCAGTGACTGTGCTTTGAGGTTACTGCGTTTCACGAAATACTTATTTTCCGAAACGGTGGGCTTGTAGCATCATGGATCACGTGCGCCACATGTGAGGGTGATTGCCTCATCACAACCCTCGGTGCGCCTTGAGCAAGCCGATCCAAAGGATCGTAGAAGAACATGTGTTTTGAATGTATATTTTGGCGCCAACATCCACTATAACATCTGTTGTTGACGCTTAGAATGTCCTCATTCCGGTGAAAGTCCGAATGTGTCAGGCTCTTTAAGAAGAGAGAGAGAGAGAGAGAAGTGAGAGAGAGAGAGAGAGAGAGAGAGAGAGAGAGAAGGAAGAGAGACAGAAGAGAAGGAAGAGAGAAGAGAGAAGAGAGAAGAAAGAAGAGAGAGAAGAGAGAGAAGAGAAGAGAGAAGAGAGAGAAGAGAGAAGAGAGAGGAGGAGATCAGCGAAAGAGAGAGAGAGAGAAAAAGCGAAGAGTGTGTGTGTTTCGAAATGTTGTTTAGTGGGCGCGTGTGTTGGTTCTTTCGCGTGTGTGTGGAGAGATGGTGGTACCGCTTTCAGACAGATCAGAGAAGACGACGTATCGTGTGAAAAAGTCAGAGAATTGCATGACCTGTCAAGAAGGTTGCTTTGGAAAAGCGTGCTTCAACAGAGAGAGGGGCGCAATCCGAGTCAAAACGCAGAGAAGACGATACAAAGGGAATAATCTCCAGAGAATGAAACTGTGCCTGGCTCCGCCTTGCCTTGCCTTGGCCGTCTAGTTTACTCGACCCGTGCCACGCGCGCGAGACCTGTACTCGTTTGGTCCCCCTCCTCTCCGTTGGTTCCGCCAGCTTTGTTGCCCCGGCTGACCCTGCTTTGATCTTTGCGAGACACAAGGTATGTAACGGCGTGTTATCGTGTGAGGCTGGCTGGTTTTGATGAGCCATCCTTTGGGTTATTGGTTGTCCCCTCACACCACCCTGAATAGCGGGCGCGGAGGAGAGAGCCTGGCTAGCAAGCTTCGTATCGAGCTGACCCTGGTGCCTCTATGCTTTTTTTCCTTATGCTTCGCAGCCCCCTCCCCGCCCGACTCGTTCTTTTCATCGGCAAATCAACATGACGACGGTCGATCGCGTGTATGCGGCGCCCGGGAGCCTGCCCGAGGCCGTCACCGGACTGGAACGCCGCCTTCGTGACGCCTGCCCCCAGGTTGACATTGTCACCATCCAGACCGAGTCGTGCTTTACCTACCAAGTGGCCGAAGACACAGCACTGACCCCCGAGCAAAAGGAGCGTCTCGCCTGGCTTCTTCGCGAGCCTTTTACAACTGGTTCGTTCCTTCTATTTGATGCTCCATCACTCACGTCTCTCCTTTGGTCCTCTGATTACCTTCCCCTCCAGCCTCATCTGGGTGTACATGTGCGCTCGACAGCCTTTGGACCGACCTCGCAGCTTGATGCCGCCAAAGATGCTGCCACGCTGATTGTTGAAGTGGGCCCTCGTCTCAACGTGACTACCGCATGGTCCACCAACGCTGTCTCCATCTGCAAGCACATTGGCCTCGAGCAGGTATTGCCCTGTCCCTTGTCAAGGGAGACTTCAGCCCACCCTGCGTGTCATGCAGCGCATCTGTTACACACTTGATCTGATTTCCAATCACCATGGTCCCCCCCTCCCCCCCACCCAGATTGTGCGCATGGAACAAAGCCGTCGCTACCGCATCTCCTTCGCAAAGGCGCTCACAGAGGAGGCTCGTCGCACCCTCATCGCTGCGCTCTACGATCGCATGACCGAGTTTGTCTACCAACAGCCTCTCACCAGGTGCAATTGCACACCCACCTCTCGTTCATGGTTCACGTGTGACCAGCAGCCTTTTGTTGTCTTGGCTTTTTCTCACGCAAGATGAATGCCCTTTCCACGCTTCGTGACATTCCAGCTTTGCCATCGACATCAAGCCCGAGCCCGTTTTCGAGGTTGACGTCATGCAAGGCGGCCTTGCGGCTCTTAAAAAGGCTTCAGACGAGCTGGGACTTGCCTTTGATGGTTCGATGCCTCGTAGTCCCTTGTCCTTTGGCCGCTGCACCAGTCCGTCATAAACACTCTTTTTTTTTTTTTCAAGTGCGCTCACTGTCGCTCTTGCTTGTCTGGCTCATCCATCTGGCTGGGGTCCTCAGACTGGGACCTTGACTACTACACCAAGCTCTTTCGTGACGTCATCAAGCGCAACCCCACCAGTGTCGAGTGCTTTGACATGGCCCAATCCAACAGCGAGCACTCTCGCCACTGGTTCTTTGGCGGTAAGCACGCGCGGCCTGACGTGCCCCGCCTCCCCCCTTACGCGGCAGCTATTTTATCATAACGCCCGGCATGGTGTTTGTCTTCACAGGTCGCCTCGTTTTGGATGGTGTGGAGCAGCCCCTTTCCCTGATGAAGATGGTCAAGCGCACTCAAACTGAGACCCAACCCAACAATAGCGTCATTGCCTTCCACGACAACTCATCCGCCATCAAGGGTTTCGCCGTGCCCGTCCTCCGACCCACCCAAACAGACGGCCCCGCTCCTTTTGAGCTGCTTCCATCCGTGGAACGCAATCTCCTGCTCACCGCCGAGACCCACAACTTTCCAACCGCTGTGGCCCCATTTGAGGGTGCAGGCACTGTACGTTTGGCCGGCACGCAAAGTTGCCCTCTTTTCCAACGGAAAAACACTGCGCTGACGGCAAGCCGTATGCCAATCAGTGGCTCCCACCGCCGTCTCACTCTTGTACCATCTGGCCTGTCGGATTTCAGGGCACTGGTGGGCGAATCCGTGACGTGCAAGCCACCGGTCGTGGTGCTCATGTCGTGGCAGGAACTGCTGCCTATTGCGTCGGCAACCTTCAAATCCCCGGCTACGAGTTGCCCTGGGAAGACCGCGTACGTACTTGTGCCCTCTGGTAACTTCTGTCCCCCAATTTTGATACTTAAAGCTGATTGAACATACTTGAATCCGCCTTCTTTGCCGACTCTCCTGCCAAAGCTTGCGTCAAAACTCTCATCATGCGTTCTTCTTCGACTAGGCGGCCAAGTATCCCAACAACATGGCCAAGCCTCTGGATATCGAAATTGAGGCCAGCAATGGGGCCTCTGACTACGGCAACAAGTTTGGCGAGCCCGTAGTCGCCGGCTTCACTCGCAGCTTTGGCATGACCTTGCCCAGCGGCGAGCGTCGCGAGTGGATCAAGCCCATCATGTTTACCTCTGGCATTGGCTCCGTCGAGGCCGCTTACAGCCAAAAAAACCCACCGCAGAAAGGCATGGCTGTTGTGAAGGTCGGCGGCCCCGTCTACCGGTATGCTTAGCCGCCCCCCCCCCCTCCCAACACACACACACCTTTTTTTTTTTTCTCCTATCTGGTCTGTTTTTCTCTTTCCCTTTTTCGTGGCTCATTTCATTCTTCTTTTTCCCTTTCTGATGGCTATTGTGCCCACTCTCAGTGTGGGTATGGGCGGAGGTGCTGCATCTTCCGTGGATGTTCAGGGTGGCGACAACCGGGACGCCGACCTCGACTTTAGGTATGTACTTAGCTACGCCCTTCATATGGCACGCTCCGTTTGGGGCATGGTTTACCATGGTCATGTGAGGCTGCTTTTGGCTGACTTGTAAACTCTGACCTTGGATTCGGAATACTATCATCAGTGCCGTGCAGCGTGGTGACCCAGAGATGGAACAGAAGATGAACCGAGCACTCCGTGCTTGCATTGAGCGCGCCGACAACCCAATTGTTAGCATCCACGACCAAGGCGCAGGCGGCAATGGTAACGTTCTGAAAGAGCTTGTTGAGCCCATTGGTGCCGAATACAAGGTGTCCAACTTTACCAAGGGCGACCCCACTCTCTCTTCCCTGGAGCTTTGGGGAGCCGAGTATCAAGAGAACTGCGCCATGCTCGTTCCAGCCGCCGAGCGGTCAGTATTGTGGTTCTTGTTGGCACTGCCAACCCTTCTAGCGCCGTCCTCATGTACACGTTGCCTTTTCTTCCATTCAGTCCCTTTTTGGAGCGTGTTGCGCAGCGTGAGCGCGTAAATGTTGATTTTGTTGGCGAGGTAGGCCATATCTGGCTACATGTGGTTTTTCCAATCGCTTGTGAATGCTTCAGATCACTTGTGCGGTTGCGTCAGGTTGCCGACCATGGCCGTGTGGTCTTGCACGATGACACTGAGAACAACAACGGTACGTTTGAGCTACTCAGTATCAGATGCCCCCTGTGGTGCACTTTCAAAGCAGTGTCTTGGTGTCTCTTCCTGGCTGGTCTCGAGGTGAATTACCGATTGTTGTTCAAAAAGCGGCACAACTCGGGCTCTGCTTTACAGGTGTCACCAAGCCAGTGGATCTGGATCTGCAGCATGTCCTGGCCGACATGCCGCGCAAGGTGTTCAAGTCAGATCGCGTCCAGCCCCAGCTGCAGGCTCTGACTCTTCCCGACGCCCCTGTCCGCAATCACTTGGATCGCGTGCTGCGACTCCTGTCCGTGGGATCCAAGCGCTTCCTCACCAACAAAGTCGACCGCTCCGTTACCGGACTCATTGCCCAGCAGCAATGCGTGGGCCCTTTGCATACCCCCCTCGCGGTAAGGAAACTAGCCGTAGTACTGTTTTTAATGACGCCTTTTCACGAATTGAACATTGCCGATCGTCTAGGATGTGGCGGTCACTGCCCTCAGCCACTTTGCTGACGTGGGCACTGCTTCAGCTATTGGCGAGCAACCCATCAAAATGCTGCTCGATGTCAAGGGTGCGTCCTTGCGATTCTCGTTCCAACGCTTTGTTGGGAGCGGGTGAGTGAGGGTGGGGGGTCAGGGTGTGTCAGGGTTGCTCAAAGAATTTGGCGTTTTATCGCTTTGGCGTGCTTTAAATATGGGTTGCCCTTTGCTCACTTGATCGCCTCACCGCCCCTGGACCGTTTGACTTGCAATCTTTTGCCAGCCGGTGCACGCATGAGCGTCGCAGAGGCCGTGGCCAATTTGGTGTTTGCCCCAATTACTCAACTCGCAGATGCCAAGTGCTCTGGCAACTGGATGTGGGCTGCCAAGCTGCCTGGCGAGGTGCGTGCATCTCTCGTTTATATGGACGGGGCGAGGGTGCTTCAAGGCTCGAGCTCAAAGCCTCTCAGCCATAATCGGCTCATCCAAGGGCCTCTTGATTATTCTTCTTATTTTTCTTTCCAATGCTATTCTTTACTCAATCCACTTTGGGTCCTCGACACCTATTAGGGCGCGGCACTGCACGACGCTTGCGAGACCATGTGCGATACCATGATTGCACTCGGCATGGCGTTGGACGGTGGCAAAGACTCTCTCAGCATGGCCGTCAAGGTGGATAACGTCCCTGTCAAGGCTCCTGGCGAGCTCGTCATCTCCCTCTATGCGCCATGCACCGGTGCGTATCAGTGGCACATGCAACACGCAATCGATGTACCCAGAATTCTGAACAATCACTTACACTCTTATTCTATGCAGATGTGCGCGGCACGTTGACACCAGATTTGAAGCCTGTTGTGGCCTCGCACCTGGTTTTCGTGGACCTTGCCCCTAGTCATGCGCGAATGGGTGGCAGTGCCTTGGCCCAGGTTAGTTGCGATCACCAGGCATCTCTGCCATTCTTATGAATCTCCTCTCTTTGTGTTAATAAGTGTGCCAGAGTGCGGACAAGGCACCTGTTTTTTTTTTTTTTTTTTTTTTTTTTTTTTTTTTTTTTTTTTCAAACCCTTTGTAGCTCACAAGCGGTATCGGACCTGCCTCATAGGTGTACCAGCAGCTGGGCAATGAAGTGCCTGACGTCGATGATGTACAGGCGCTGGGCAAACTCTTTGCCACCACACAGCAACTGCTCAAGGCCGGGCACCTCTTGGTTTGTGGCGCAGCATGTTTGACAGCCTGACCGGCTGCAAGCTGATTTTGTGCTCGTCACTCTGGTCAACTCACGACAGCCGTTCTCGCTGTTTGCAGGCGGGCCACGACGTGTCAGATGGTGGTGTGCTTGTGGCCGTACTTGAAATGGCCTTTGCTGGCAACATTGGTCTGGACATTGCGTTGCCCTCTAAGGTTCGATTGAATGATGACTCCCCCTGGCAGGGCATGCGATCTTTGTCACTCTCACCATACTCTTGTTCTTGTGTTTAGGGAGCTTCGTCCGTGGCCGCTTGCTTTGCTGAAGAAATTGGATTGGTGCTGCAGGTGGCTGACACCAACCTAAAGGCTGTCCAAGAGGCATACGCAGCCGCAGGTCTCGAATGTACAGATCTGGGTCTGGTCGCAGGAGAAGCCCAGGGCCCTGATGCGACCGTACGTTGGAACAAAGGGATCTTTTGCCTCGCCTGTTGACGTGCCGACACACCCTGACTTTGCTGATTGCATGCCTTTGCGCGCATCTATACGCACATTGTCAATACAACTGGACCTCGCTTCTCAGGTCGTTGTGCGTGTGGGAGAGCAGACGGTGGTGGACGAAAGTCTAGTCGCTTTGCGTCAGGTTTGGGAGGCCACGTCCTTCCAGCTTGAGCGCCTTCAGTGCGCAGCATCATGCGTGGAGCAGGAGGAGGCCAGTATGCAGACGCGTGTGCGCCCTCCTTACAAGCTTTCTTTTACACCAACCGCACCCAAAGCGCTGACAAGCTCGATCGAGTCACGCCCGCGCGTAGCCGTTGTGCGTGAAGAGGGCAGGTACGAGCCCGTTGCCTCCTTTCACGGGTCCACGTAGACAGGGGATGAGATGAGCGCATGGGCAAAGGTGTAATCAACAGAGGTGACTGCTTTTTTTTTTTTTTTTTTTTTTTTTTTTTTTTTTTTTTTTTTTTTTTTTTTTTCCTTCACCTCACACCCTGGCAATGGTATCCCACTTGGTCCCTGCAGCAACGGCGATCGTGAAATGGCAGCCACTTTGTTCATGGCAGGCTTCAATGTGTGGGACGTGACCATGTCAGACCTCTGCGAGAGCCGGGTGTCGCTGGACCAATTCCGTGGCCTGGTGTTTGTTGGCGGCTTTAGCTATGCCGACGTATGCGGCAGTGCCAAGGTATCGTATATTGCCCTTGGAATAGGGCAAGACCTATTGAATCGATCGACCGAGGTCTCATCTTTTTGGCAATCATGACACTGTGTAGGGGTGGGCTGGTACAGCGCTGTTCAACCCTGCAGCTCGTGCCCAGGTGTGTGTGTTTGCACGCGCTGTGAATATGGCGTATGGTGTCTATTCTTATTCGCCTACCTACTTTTTCCCCCTGCCGTCCCTCCATCTCGTAGCTCGAGGCCTTCCGGGCCCGACCCGACACCTTCAGCTTGGGCGTCTGCAATGGCTGCCAGCTGATGGGTCTACTGGGCTGGGTTGCTCCTCGTCCCGGTGCGTAGCTCTGATGCTAGTGTGCACATGCAAGAATCAAACAACCTACTTCTGACCAGCTTTTTTTTTTTTTTTTTTTTTTTTAATTGTGTGGAACATTGAACGCAGCTGGTGTGGAAGAGCCAGCGACCAAGCGTGCCAAGAGCACCGAGACCGAGCCTGCAAATGGCGCTGTCTTTACGCACAACACCAGTGGTCGCTATGAGTCCCGCTTTGTGACTGTGCGCATTGATGAGAGCCCGGCCATGATGTTGCAAGGTGGGTGCGCGATGCCTGGTCAAAATAGCCATTGCTGTGCCGCAAAATTTTCATTCTAATGATTTGATGCCCCACCTGTTTTTTTTTTTTTTTTTTTTTTTTTTTTTTAAATTGTCTGCGTGCTGGTTGATAGGCATGGCGGGCAGCACCCTCGGTGTTTGGGTCGCGCACGGCGAGGGTCGTGTTGAGTTTCTCGACGCTGATGCCAAAAAGGCCGTTGAGGTGCGCGATGCCGTCGGATGTGGGACGCGCTGGTTGAGCTTCCGGTGCAGGAAGGCCTTGCTCATCATCTGTGGTGTTTGTGGGCATGGTAGACGGAGAATCTGGCTCCCATCCGTTACGTTGATGATGCCAACGAGGCCACTGAGGTGTACCCGCTCAACCCGAACGGTTCACCAGATGGCATTGCCGGCCTTTGCTCGGCGGACGGCCGCCACTTGGCTCTCATGCCCCATCCAGGTGTGTATGGGCAGGATGTATGGCTTTGAAAACAGATTCATCGTGCCAGCACATGACTGTGTTGAGGGCGACTCACACTTGGTGGTGCCATTGGTTTGTCGTTCCATCGCATCTCTACCGGGCTTTGCAGAGCGATGCTCGATCCTTTGGCAATGGCCTTACCTTCCAGAGGACTGGCGCGCACTTGAGGCATCACCCTGGCTCCGCATGTTTGAAAACGCAGCGGCATGGTGCGCCCAAAACAATTAGGTTGAACCAGTCCCACTGTGCCGGGACATTACCCTTTTAGATGAGTTCTTGAATGGTTACATGCTGGAGCTCGGGTATTATTGTGAAACTGTGGCTTTTCCAGGCGTTTGTGTGTGTAACGTGTTTGTGGCTGGCTTGATCTGCCTTGATGTGTATCCTGATTGATGGGCCATCGCAGTTACTGTTCATGTCGCCCTCTTCACATTCATGGGCGAGGAGACACAGACACAGACACAGACACACACACACACACACACACAGGAACAGAGACACACACAAAAACAGAGACACACACAAAAACAGAGAAACACACACAGAGATGCTTGGAAAAAGAAAAAGAATAAAAGTAAGCATGCATGCAAGCGTCATGTCCGCGTCGGCCTGATAGTGTCAAGCAACGGAATGTGCCGACGTTGGTTTTACACACGATGTGGAGCGGTTACAATTGTGCCAAGGCACGATAAACCGACACGGGCAAGCCATTCGCTTGCGTGTTGTCGCCTTGGTCTTGGCAGTGCACCTTCCTTCTTCTTTTTCTTCTTCTTCTTCTTCTTCTTCTTCTTCTTCTTCTTCTTCTTCTTCTTCTTCTTGGGTTTGGTGGATGCACTCTTCATTGTCGTTCTTCTCCGTTTGGCGACGGGCCTTGATGATGATTAGTCCCGGCAAAATGATGCTCTCGTGGCACCCGCGATGGGTCACTTTACTAGTCTTCTATGTCTGGTTTAGCGTGCTCACGACAGAGGCTGCGGCCGGCCTCCGCGCCACAATTCAAACCAATTTCCGGCTCCAGGGGTGCTTGACCGCAAGCTGGCCATCGACCCATCCTCGACATTCAATGTCACATCCATCCATCGAGCCGGTGGTCCTGCTAAAGCACTGTAGTCCAGATAATGACCACCAATTCTGGATCAAGACGCCTTGCGGCCAGTTTCAGTTGGACAACTCCTCCCTCTGCATGACGCATGGTCGGTCCGCTCGCTGACATGCTTGGTCGGACCAGTTCAAAAGGAGGAGGGCTCGGCAGCACGTGTCTGCCCACAGCTCACGCGGATCCATGATTGGACCAAACCACTAGGCGATGACAGTCAAGGCGATTTAACCCTGACACCCTGCCAACCTTGCACTCTGGCCGATGGCCAGGCCTTTGACACACTACCTGTGCCCACAACACTAGATTCAGGCCCAGCCTCGACGACCGGTACGCGCCTGTTTGTGTCGGTGCCTGTGTCAAATCGAAAGGCTTATTTAGCAAACACCTCAAACTCCTCGAAACCGCTCACTCACTGCCGTTCCTAGTTGCCGACGGTCGACAAATTCTGCTATCGTACCATCAGCGTCCCGGCGCTATCAAGTGTTTAGATGCCAACATTCGTGACCGCCTTTCCATGCGCATCGAGTTGCAAGCCTGCACGAACCACGCTGCACAAGTGCGTTGAGTGTGCTTTCTCTAGCCAACTCCTATCAGGCATCAGGCATCAGACATCGGCCGCGCTCCTGATTGCCTCATCTCTCGCTTGCCAGGTGTTTTTTTCTAGCCTATTTCAGGACAAGGCAGCCCAGTGGCGTCGAGACCGGGCAGAGGACCACGACACAGGGTCTGCCTCTCCTCCATCGCGGAACCCCAGCCCCTCGACAGATCGGCAAACACGTGCAGACAGCGCACGCAACAGGAGCCAGACCTCAAGCCCCCGGGGCCCTCGCATCACGGCCAAAGCACAGGTGATGTGACACGCTTCTACCTGTGTCAGCCACACGGCTGGGGAAGGAGCCTTTGCGCTGCGGTCGCTGAGTTGCAATGACCGACGACGGCTTGTCCTACCCCCATTTTGAAAACAATTAGGTGATCAATATGTATGTGGAGGCCGACCATGAAGGTGCTGCTTACTTGCTCGTGTGCCCTCGCTTGGAGGAAAACAGCCCCATGGCGGTGCATGGCACAACCTTGAGCCTTTATAAACCAGTTCTGAGCGCCACCATTCCATTTGGGTGCAAGGTACAGGCGTTTGTGAGGGCTTGGTGGATTCCGTGAACCATTCTGAAGTAGAGTGCCTCACCTTGCCTTGCTTTGCCTTTTGCATGGCAAACAGCTAAGTTTGTACGCTCACGACAACTGTCGAGGCGAGCCGGTGATGACACTGACTGGATCCGTGCGCTCACTGATCAGCCACCCGGCTGCCCAGGTTGGTGTCGACAATGTTATTTTAGCATTTGGGCTTCACTTTTGGTTGGCATGATTGTTCTTCCCGCTTGCCAGCCCCTTATTTACCCCTCTTCTCCTGGCGTGTGTCATAGGAGGTCAAATGCGCACGCTCCTACCGCATCCGCACGTATGGGCAGCTTTCAGCCTCGCGCCAATTTCGCGTTGATTTGTCACGCATGTTACAATTGTTTCCGGGGCCCGATTTTACTGGCCGCATGCTTGCGGTTGCCGTGGGGCAGTACCCCATAGTTCAAGATCTCGCCATAGATGAGCTGCCTTTTGTATGTTACCCCAGCACGGTCTCTTTGAAGGCCCCACTTCCAGTCTGACAGCTCTGCGCGGACTTGGTCGACGGCATTGCGTTCCCATTCCAAACCGGCTTGCCGGTTCACCCAAACCCGTTTGATGTTTGTTTTTTTCTGTTCAGGTCCCAGTTTCCATGCGCGTTCCCGCCGGAGTTCGAGCTGTCATGCACTTTGGCGACCCTGCCAACGAGGCCGAGCAACACCACCTTCCCTTGGACCAGGATTGGCCTGCCTTGCCCGCCGATCTTTACAGCCTCAGCGCTACGGTTGTCCCCACCAGCAAACTGCACGGCGCCGTCCTCTGCACCGGCTTGGCTTTCCGGGGGCATTGTCAGTTTTTTGGCCCGGGCAATTATGATGAACTTCCACTCTCCCTTGTTGGTGCGGTCCAGTCCATTCTGTTCCCGACACCAGGTACGCCATGGATGCCTGCCTGCCGCACTGAGAAGGGAATTGATTTTAGGGGGGGGGGGTGCCCCACATGTCGCTTTGGTGGGCAGCGACAGAGTTTTTGGCCTCCGATACAAAAGGCGCTTGCTTGATCTTCCTATATGCTTAGGCTTTTCCCTGGAGATCTTTCCGCTCCAACAATACCAAGGACCCTCAGCCACCACCACCACCAATATGAGCAGCCTCTTCCGTCTTCGACAATATGAGAACAACATTCGTAGCCTCAAGGTATTCGTAGCGTACATACTTGTCCGCGACACAGAGAGTCATGCCGCTTACCTGATGCCTTTTCTTCCTCGATGAACGTTGTTTAGGTAGGGTTTGCTTGTGGCGAGCATGGATGTCAAAATGGAGGGCGTTGCGTGGGTCCCATGGTCTGCAAGTGCCCCGACGGGTACCGCGGCGATGTTTGCCAACATGCACGCCCGGATGCAACGTCTCAAATCAGCTGTGCAAAGTGTGTACTGCCACCCCAGGTTGGCTTATTTGATTGCTTGTCGTGTCAGGCCTCATGTCCTTTGCGGCTTACAGGAATCATTTGGAAGCAGGCGAAGACGTGGAATGTATCATACGTCCTCGTAGGCTGGGGCTTCCTGCCAGCGTGGCGCCAGACGAAGTTTTGATTGTCATGAAGCGACAGCCATGTGTAGCCTCCAAGAGCACGGCATTCACATCTCGCGAGCCCCAGGCCGCATTGCCCTTTCAAATCCGCTGCGCCTCAAAACCCCACATGCCCATGACAACAAGCGAACTGGACTGGTCTGTGGCCATGGTAGCGGATGATCAAATGACGCCACTGCTGCCGCCACATTTGCACATGATCAGTAGTGACTTGGCGGCGAAATCGCAAGTGCGTGGACTGTGGGCCATCTCAGGATGTATGCCATCACTACCTCATAATGCATATCTGTCTCATTCAATATTCTCACCCCTTGTCCATATGTTTCACGTCGCAGCTTGTGTGCCCGGAATGCGACGCACAAACCTCGGCCAAGTGTCGATGCGCCTTGCATCTGCCAGTGCCCCTTGTGCCCAATGACATATCCTGCTTCGCCCGAGCGTTGGACGATGGAGTGGCCGAGTCAGTTCGCGCGACCATAAGCATCAATCGCGATGATCCCCGTCACGTTCTCATCAGCTACCTCCCTCAAGTCTCTGAACATGCGTTGGCGAACCAGAACGCTAGTGCAACTGCCAACACCGTGCTTATCAATGTGACTTGTCAACTGGGTGCCAACGGCACGCAAAAAGTAGTCGCAACGAACAAACTTCGATCACTAAATCTGGTTCATCAGTGTCTACGACGCGCACAAGTTCTGATTGAGAACCATGATTATGATCAGGCTTTGCTACTTCTTCAGCGTGAGGTTTGGCTTGCAGCACGGTTTCTCGAAGTCCGTTTGCTGACGCTATTAGGCCGTACTGTGGCCGCTCGAGAGGAAACGAACAAGCTTGAAGCGCGTAATGCAGCCGTATCCGCGCCACAGTTATTTGAGCTTGAGGCTCAATGGTCTCGCATCGACGCTGGTCTGGCCGTGGCAGAGGACGTCAGCACGCCTGCTGCCGTCATGCGCTGTCTGTTGGGTGAAACCTCGCCCAGCAACTGCGATCTCATCCAGGATGCTTCAGTGGTTGCACCACTTGATCCCATTCTGCGCCGGGCGCTCGCGTTGTGTGACTTCGCTGGGGGTAGGTAGAATGGTTGAACTGAGAATATGCACTCTTTGAGGGTCAGTGCTCACGAACCTGCGCTTTTTGTGTGAATGTCTGGATCCGACTCTGACAGGACGTTATTCTCTCGTCAAGCAACGTTTATCGAGGGACGGGCAACGCAATCAGCCGCTCGCTTTGACGATACTGGCCGCTGGCCAACATCAACTTCTCCATCGGTCCGACCTGGCCCGCCAAACACTGCGCCGATGCCGACGTTTCAATAGGTGTGATGGCTGCTCTGCTTTGCCTCGCCTGATAGCCGCATCATTCCGTTTTCCAGCTCAATAGCACAACCTCACTTGTTGGGCGCACAATCGTGCCACCTAGTGCTACGGATGAAGGCACAATCCAATTGTGCGACGTCTATTATGAGCGCCTCGTGCTATCCATGAAAAATTTGAACCTTGCCATGCAAACACGTCGTGAGGATGGGGAAGCACACTTGCTTGCTCATCAAGCCGTGGTAGGTGTTGAGTTTGAGTAATTGCTTCTCGCTTGCACTTGCCTACCGTCTGGGGGCTTGGCAACGGGTGCAGCTCCATGTACTAGTCTCATCGCTGTTGCGTGTATCATGGCAGCTTGATGGTCAAGCTTTAGGCCCAGAGCGTCACGCAGCACTGGCAGCGCTCTGCAGCTACTACTTTTTTGTCTCGAATTATGATGCAGCCCACGAAGCCTGCTCGCAAGGCATTGCGACCGCTCGTGGCACTGAGGAGATTGAGCTGGACGAAAGCGAGGTCGACCAACTGGTGCAGCTGTTCATTCACCGCGCATATGGTCACCTCATCCGCGAGGCATTCACGGCAGCTGCCAGCGATGTGAAAGCGGCACGCCGTCTGCGACCCATGGACCTACGCCTCATGCAGTTGCAGCAAAAAATTCAATTGGCAGTTAAGGAAGCAACCGACAAGGACTACTATAAAATACTGGGCATCTCACGGTGAGTGGGCGGGTCGGTAAAGCATGAGTGGCCACCATTTGAGATTCCGCACGTGCTCCTCACTCTGCAATCCATACCATCCCAGGCAAGCAACGTCGGCCACCATTCGCGCTGCATATCGCAAGCTTGTCCGTACATGGCACCCAGACCGCAAACCCGACCATCCAAAGGCTGAGGAGATATTTCTAGATATCGTGGAGGTTAGCACCTAGCGCGACCGTTTATCTGTTTGGAGTCTTCAGACCACAGGTGCACCCGTGGATTGTTTAATTGCGCTCACAACCATACTCGTCTGCTCTTGCGCTGATGTTTGAATCAAGGCATACGAAGTGTTGATGGATGAGGAGCTACGAGAGCTATACGATCAAGGTCAAGGTATTGAAGATTTGCTCAAGTATCGACAGGCCCGGCAGCAGCAAACAGGGGGCAGGCCTGGTTCCAAGGTACGTCTTAACACGATCGCCAGCTTGAATTCACATGAGCTTTCGCGCGAGGTGACGCGCTTGTGCATGTGCCAATAGACCTCTGCAGAAGACAGGGGTGAAGATCCGGAGGAGGAAGATACAGATGAGTTTAACTCTTCGCAACAATCGCCGCACTCGCATGAACGACCGGCCAAGTCGGCAGAAACAACCGCCTCCTCGATTAAGTTGGAGAAACATTGCTGTCTTCCCCCTGCCTCAGTCGTCTAAGGTCGACGTCTGGCAAAGTAATTGCATGCTGAGCGTGTTTCCTCAATTGATTGACATGTGAATCAAGGCAAACAGACACAGACCCTTTTTTTAAGGCAGCACAGTAGATCCAAACTTCCTTTTCTTCTCCTTCTCCTGACCACGTTGTTTTGACATGCAAGAAGGTTCAGGCTCCTACAGAGGTGGTGTCATGGCTTGCTGTTCGCCGATTTACTGGCGTGTGAGTCTGTGAGTCTGCACACAAACCTGTTGATCATGCTGAAGCCCTCCTGTTGATCGGCAGATGGACATGGGAAGCAAAGACAATTCTAAAAAAAGGCAAGAAATGTCAGGCTCCAGCACGTCTGGAGGCCGTCTTTGGGTTGCGAGGAAGCGCGTAGGTTTGAGGAAGCGTTTTGAGAGAGGTTTGAGAGACGTCCGTCGGAGCGGAGCGAAAGCTTTGGTGGTGTCTTGAGGTCAATTGAACCAGCTGCGGTCGGCAAGCATTCACAGTGACCAGACCAGGTGCACCGTTAGAATAGCTGTAGAGTCGCTCAATCCCGAGGATAGGGAAAGTCACAAGAGAGCAGAGCACACAGGAGAGCAAGGGGAAGACAGAATGGCAGAGGGCTTGACGTACCTGCGGTCGGCAAGCATTCACAGTGACCAGACCAGGTGCACCGTTAGAATAGCTGTAGAGTCGCTCAATCCCGAGGATAGGGAAAGTGCAACTCGTGCCCGACCGCAGGTGTCACAACAAAGGGAAACAACAGTAGCCACAAGCTTATTGCCCCAGGGCAGCTGCCCAGGCATCGTGGGGACCGCGTCACACGCGGTGTTTACTCATGTGACTGCCACGAGGAGGATCAAGCCCAGGGGGTCCAAAAGTAGGTGTCAATGTGTGAGGTCGTCGTAGCTATGGAATACCAATAGGAAGACCCATAGCGACCGATGCTGAGTGTGTGCGAAAGCAGTGGGAGTGTTCAAATGCGTGGAAGCACGGATTTGACGCTAACACCCCCCCTCGCCAGCCGGAGCCCCGATCCGGCGAGGATGGTTCAAAGACAAACGGAAGAAATGGCGAAGGCACGCTGAGAACAAAAAGGGAAACAAGGATGAGAGAAAAAAAATGCAAGT